AGTGCAAGAATCAGTGATTGAGGTGGATATTTATACACATATGTGGTGGTGTACGCGGTGGAGCTTCAGGGCGGAAGAATATATGCATGTTTGTAGCAGCTGAGGATCAGCAATTGAGAATGGCTGAGAATCAGAGCATACACTGAATCTGTGGAGTGTAACAGAATAGTCTATATGATTGATTGAGATGGCAATCGAGAATGGCCGAGGATCAGAGCATACATAGAATCTGTGGAGTGTAACAGAATAGTCTATATGATTGATCAGAGTGGCGGCCGAGGATCAGCAATTGAGAATGGCCGAGGATCGGCAATCGAGAATGGCTGAGGATCTGCAATTGAGAATGGCTGAGGATCTGCAATTGAGAATGGCCAAGGATCTGCAATCGAGAATGGCTGAGAATCTGAGTGTATGTGAAATCTGTGAAGTGTAATGAAATAGTCTATATAATTGATCGGGCGCAGCCCACCACATTAGCCCCCTCTTTCCAGAAGCAGTTCCCATTGGTAAAGAGCCGCTGTTTCAGATAACACAGAACTCAGAGTCTGGTCAGTTGAGAAGGAATTGAATTGATGACAGCACAGCAGTTCAGTGTGAAGTTTTTGATAAGAAGATACACTGAAGATTATGATGTCTTACAACTGAAGATTTTATTATTGTATAGTAGCTTCTCTTCAAATTGTTGTCATTCAATCTCTTCAAGCTTCTGTTTGTAAATTTGAACAGAAGTTAATCTTTTCTCTGTTTTATTAAGACATTCTCATAGTTATTTTCTGTATCTTTCTTCACTGCTATGTGATTGATGCAGACAGACACTGATCTTTCTCTCAAGTGTGAAGACACATAGGTTGATCAGCAGTTAAAAGTGATGTGTCTCAATCAGTTATAATTAATGCATACTTCTTATTAACATTGATCAGTGACTTCTTCAGAAGTGATTCTAGAGACTCAGAAGCCTGTTTGAACAGCAGAAACTCTTGCTTGTGTATAGACATTTGAATCTATTCAGTTCATGACATCTGCATCATTATTGTTCTTCAGTGTTAGTGTATGAATGTAATGTCTTCTGCCACTGTTCTGTATACTCTTGAGCTTGATAAGACAGTCATTCAATGTCTGAAGCTGTGTGTAGAAACCTTCATAAGTTAAGTCTTCATTTATACTTATGAGAACCTGTAAGAGTTTGTAAGTTAATGTCTTCTTGAGCATGCTAATCTTCATTCTATTCTCTCAAGATTAATCACCTACTTCTAAGATCTTAATCTCAAAGTCAGGAATGAATGTTGTAAGAGAAGTATTTCTCTGTTAAGCACTCTGTAATCAATCTAATGCTTTCTATTACATGGCAGTGTCTCAGAACAGAATATTAAGATATCTTATAATGTTATCAGATGTTCATAATGCTGATTCACATGCTTTCATTCATGAATAAAACTTCTGTTTCATGCAATCTTTTAATCATTCATTGATATATTAATCTTGATTGATTAATGAACTGATGAAATCTTCATCTACACTCAGTTTCATGAGTATTTTCATTCTTCATGATGAGTAGAGAGTGAGATCAGAAGTATTGAAATATGCAGAAGCATCTAAGCATTCTTTCAGCACTTTTGTATTCAATTCTATAGATGTTGAAATTGTATGAGTTTCTTGTAATAATCATTGAATCTCTTCATATTGACATTATTGAGTTGTATGCATGTCTGCTATCTGTTGCTGTTATAATTTCAACATTGCTCAGAGCCACTGTGGCACTGCATCTATGCTCATATTCGAGTTCAAGAGTTTCATATTATTGTTAGATATGATTATATCAATTATCAAATGTATGATATCTGTGAAATCTGAAGAAGTGTAATTATATTCTCATACATCTAAGTGTCAGAACTCTCAGATCTTTCACTGACATTCTCTTATAAGATCTTACTCTCTTTATAAGATCTTGTTACAGGGTCAGAGTGACTGATGAGTAAGCTTCTATCTGAGAACTATCTGAGAACTCAGTGTTCACTTATCTATGTTTTCTCTTTCTTATATGTTGTTACATGTTTGAATATCTCTTGATGAATAATCATTTATCTGAGTATCAGACCTCTCAGGTCTTTTGCTGATATTCTCTTATAAGATCTTATTCTCTTTGTAAGATCTTGTTGCAGGGCCAGGGTGACTGATAAGCAAGCTTCTATCTGAGAACTTGATGTTCATTTAACTGTTTTGACTGTTTCTTACACATCATTACATGTTTGAATATCTCTCAATGAATAATCATTTCTAATGAGAAGATAATGCTGAATAATTGTTTTCTAATAAGAAGATAATGAGTGTTTTTATAGTGTAAGAGACCTATGCTGATTAGATTGATATAATATTGATAGGTCTTATATAACAAAGATAAAAATGCTAGAGAAGGAAAGAAAGAGAAAGTGTGAGAATCAGTGATCAAGATAGATATTTATACACATATGTAATGATGTACGCGGTGGAGCTTCAGGGTGGAAGAATATATACATGTTCATAGCAGCTGAGGATCAGTGATTGAGAATGGCTGAGAATCAGAGCATACACTGAATCTGTGAAGTGTAATGAAATAGTCTATATGATTGATCGGGGTGGCGATCGAGAATGGCCGAGGATTGAAGTGTATGTAGAATCTGTGAAGTGTAACAGAATAGTCTATATAATTGATTGAGATGGCGGCCGAGGATCAGCAATCGAGAATGGCTGAGGATCAGCAATCGAGAATGGCTGAGAATCTGCAATTGAGAATGACCAAGAATCTGCAATTGAGAATGGCCGAGGATCTGAGTGTATGTGAAATCTGTGGAGTGTAATGAAATAGTCTATATGATTGATCAGGCGCAGCCTGCCACATTAGCCCCCTCTTTTCAGAAGCAGTTCTCATTGATAAAGAGCTGCTGTTTCAGATAATGTGGAACTCAGAGTCTGATTGATTGAGAAGGAATTGAATTGATGATGGTACAGCAGTTCAGTGTGAAGTTTTTGATAAGAGAATACACTGAAGATTATAATATCTTATAACTGGAGATTTTATCATTGCATAGTGACTTCTCTTCAAATCATTGTCATTCAATCTCTTCAAGCTTCTGTTTATGAATTTGAACAGAAGCTAATCTTTTTTCTGTTTCATTGAGATATTCTTATAGTTATTTTCTGCATCTTTCTTCACTGCTATGTGATTGATGTGAACAGGCACTGATCTTTCTCTTGAGTGTGAAGATATATAGATTGATCAGCAGTTGAAAGTGATGTGTTTCAATCAGTTATAATTAATGCATACTTCTCATTGATGTTGATCAGTGACTTCTTCAGAAGTGATTTCAGAGACTCAGAAGCCTGTTTGAATGATGAAAACTCTTGCTTATGTATAGATATTTGAATCTATTCAGTTCATAGCATCTGCATCATTGTTATTCTTCAGTGTGAGTGTATGAATATAATGTCTTCTGCCACTGTTCTGTATACTCTTGAGCTTGATAAGATGATCATTCAATATTCAGAGCTGTGTGCAGAAACCTTCATATGTTAAGTCTTCATTTATACTTATAAGAGCCTGTAAGAGTTTGTAAGTTAATGTCTTCTTAAGCATGCTAATCTTTATTCTATTCTCTCAAGATTGATCATCTGCTTCTAAGATCTTGATGTCAAAGTCAGGAATGAATGTTGTAAGAGAAGTGTTTCTCTGTTGAGTACTCTGTAATCAATCTAATACTTTCTGTTGCATGGCAGTGTCTCAGAACAGAATATCAAGATATCTCATAATATTATCAGATATTTACAATACTGGTTCACATGCTTTTATTCATGAATGAAACTTCTGTTTCATGCAATCTTTCAATCATTCATTGATATATCAATCTTGATTGATTAATGAACTGATGAAATCTTCATCTATACTCAGTTTCATGAGCATTTTCATTCTTCATAATGAGTAGAGAGTGAGATCAAAAGTATTGAAATATACAGAAGTATCTAAGTGTTCTTTCAGCACTTTTATATTCAATTCTGTAGATGTTGAAATTGTATGAGTTTCTTATGATAATTGTTAAATCTCTTTATATTGACATTGTTGAGTTGCATGCATGTCTGCTATCTGTTGCTGTTGTAATTTCAACATTGCTCAGAGTCACTGTGACACTGCATCTATGCTCATGTTCAAGTTCAAGAGTTTCATATTATCATTAGACATGGTTATATCAATTATTAGATATATAATATCTGTGAAATCTGAAGAAGTGTAATTATATTCTTATATATCTGAGTGTCAGAACTCTCAGATCTTTCACTGATATTCTCTTATAAGATCTTACTCTCTTTGTAAGATCTTGTTACAGAGTCAGAGTGACTGATAAGTAAGCTTCTATCTGAGAACTATCTGAGAACTTGATATCTGCTTATCTATGTTTTCTCTTTCTTATATGTTGTTATATGTTCAGATATCTCTTGATGAATAATCATTCATCTGAGTGTCAGAACTCTTGAGTCTTTTACTGACATTCTCTTGTAAGATCTTATTCTCTTCATAAGATCTTGTTGTGAGGCCAGAGTGACTGATAAGCAAGCTTCTATCTGAGAACTCAGTGTTCATTTAACTGTTTTGACTGTTTCTTATGCATTGTTACATGTTTGAATATCTCTCAATGAATAATCATTTCTAATGAGAAGATAATGCTGAATAATTGTTTTCTAATAAGGAGACAATAAGCATTTTTATAGTGTAAGAGACCTATGCTGATTAGATCAGTATAATATTGATAGATCTTATATAACAAAGATAAAAACACTAGAGAAGGAAAGAAAGAGAAAGTGTGAGAATCAGCAATTGAGGTGGATATTTATACACATATGTGGTGGTGTACGCGGTGGAGCTTCGGGGTGGAAGAATATATGCGTGTTTGTAGCAGCTGAGAATCGGTGATCAAGAATGGCCGAGAATCAGAGCATACACTGAATCTGTGAAGTGTAATGAAATAGTCTATATGATTGATCAGGGTGGCAATCGAGAATGGCCGAGAATCGGAGCATATGTAGAATCTGTGAAGTGTAATGGAATAGTCTATATGATTGATCGGGGTGGCGGCCGAGGATCAGCAATCGAGAATGGCCGAGGATCGGCAATCGAGAATGGCCGAGGATCTGCAATCGAGAATGGCCGAGGATCTGCAATCGAGAATGGCCGAGGATCTGCAATCGAGAATGGCCGAGGATCCGAGTGTATGTGAAATCTGTGGAGTGTAACGGAATAGTCTATATGATTGATCGGGCGCAGCCCGCCACATAAAGGCCTCATAAGCTTCTGAGATAAGAAAGTTCTCACAGTTCTCTCTTCTTAATAATCTTTTCATTCTTCATTCACAGAATGACTTCTTCTTATTTTCATTCTTCAGCATGTCTGTAAGGGTCAAGAAGATTCTTGCAAATACAAAGATAAATCATCTATAGAAATTCACAAAGCTCAGAAAGATCTGAATCTCATGAATACTAGTTGACTTCAGCTATAATAGAATAGTCTCAATCTGTGAAGATTTCATCTGAATATCATCTGCAGTGATTACATATTCTAGAAAATTAATTCAGCAGACACTGAAGTTGCACTTCACAAGCTTAATATACAGTTCTGCCTCATCTAAGACCTTCAATACACTTTGCACATACTCAGTGTGTTCTTTCTTCTTCACAGAGTACATCATCACATCATTCAGATATATTACTATAAAGACATTCAGATATGTATGAAGTGTTTTATTAATAAAAGACTGAAATACTGTAGAGATATTAGTCAGATTAAAAGACACTACTAGATATTCAAACAGTCTCAGTGCAGTCTTAAAGACAGTCTTTCATTCATTCTCAGACTGTATTCACAGCTGTGTATATATATTGATTATATTCAGTTATATGAATATAACAGCTCTCATGAGACAGTTGATCACATTCTCAATCAGAGATAGAGAGTAGCAGCTCTTTATTATCTTGAAGTTCAGGTCATAGTAGTCTACACACAATCTGAGATCTTTATTCTTCTTCTTCATAAATATCACAGAGACTCTCACAGAGGCCTGTGAAGATCAGATAAAGTCATTCTTCAGATTCTTCTTCACATAGGTTCACAAGACCTCTGTCTTATAATGAAAGAGTTTATAAATTGATTTTCAGAAGGGTTTCTGCTCTTCTATCAAATCTATTGACAGATTCTTCTCATAGTGAGAAGAAAGCTCAGCTGTCTTAGCTGAGCTGAACATCTCTGTGAGATCTCAGTATTTCTCTGATATCTGAAGCTCAGTTTTCATAACTGTGAGATTCTCAGACACTCACAAAGTCATCATATAGATAGGCTTGTCTCCTCTAATCAACTCTGCAGTATTAACTGCTTCTATCTTCATAAGTGAGTCTATCAACACTGATCAGAAGTATAAACCTGACTTGCAGACAGCTATGTGCAGATTATATCTTTAAAGTCATACAAGTTCTAAATACATGTTATCTGTGATATCTGCAATAATCACAGTTTCTGTAAATCTTCTTCAGATTTCAGAGAGATCTTGTAATTCAAAGATAACTCTTATAAGTCTCTCAGTTCTCAGATCTGAGTTCTCATGCTCTGCTTGTTATAAGAGCAGATTCTCAGTCTTCATCTTTCAGCTCATTCACTCTGTGAGCTTCAGAGATATTACAGTGACCTGAGATTCTGAGTTCATCAATACTTCTCATGCTTGCAGAGCAGCAGTATTGTGATGCAGTCTCTCTCTATAAGTAAGTATTTTCATTGAGAAAGTAATAGATTCAGATATCAGCTTTAAGACTCTTAAGAAGACTGTTGCTGACTCTGTCTGTGACTCTTCAAATTTCTATTTTAGTTTATTCAGACAGTTTGCACAGAGATGTTCTGATTTAGAACAGATAAAGTAGAGTCTCTTTTCCTTGATCTCTCTGTTATATACTCTGTTCATGAGAGCTTGTGAAGCTCTTTCTCTCTGCTCAGTAGTCAGATATGAATCTCTCTATGTCTTATCATCTTTTTCTGACAAATCTGTTCTCTGTTATTCTGACTCTTACAGAGCTGGTCAATGATTCACTCTTCACAGATCTGTGACTCTCACAGTGATCTGTAAGCAATGAATGAGAGTTATCAGTTTCTTCAGAGTTAAGAGCTTAGAGTCTTGCTCAATGAGCTTGTTCTACATATCTTTATTCAGTCTCTTTATAAATATCATCATTCAGATCTTGTTTCAGAGCTCTGTTTTCACAGATCTCAATTCACATCACAATTTTATAAAGCACTGTGAGTAGTCTTTATCAGATTTCTTATCTCTTTTTCTAATATTGATAATTGCAGTTCAGGTGTTCTCTGTTCAGCTCACAGAGTCTCTTAACTTATTCTCTAGATAAATCTTAAGAACAGACTATTAGAATCTCTTATAATCATTCTCTAGATAATTCAGTCAGTTCTTGACTTCAGTGTAATAGATGTCTGTCATTACATAGATGACAGCTTCTTCATCTTTCATGTCACACAGCTGAGCTTGTGAGTCAATTTCAAATACAAACTTGTAAAAGCTTTTATAGATTGTGATTTGATAGATGATCTTAAGTGATTATAATTTAAGAAAGTTTCTTTTCAATTCACAGATGTCTCTGAAGATCATGTCTAGAGACTCAGTTCAAGAGTGTTTGCAGACAGTAAGCATTTCTTATAGAAAAATAGCTTGATTCTGCAGAAGATGCTCAAGAATGTTCTTCACTAAGATTGATTTATTCATGAATTCAGAGAGTTTCTCTGTCACAGATGCAGAGAATGATGTTCTGTGAGTGATTGATAAGTTCTCTAAGACTTCTTTCATAAGAGTTATTCATGATTCAGATGACTGCTTCTGAGTGTCTGTAGTAGAGTTTGCAGAGATTGAAGTATATGAGTTTCTAGTTCTTTCAGTTATAATGAGCAGTTGCTGACTGACTGAGCTTGAAATGTAAGAATAAGTGCTTACAGGCAATTATTCAGGTGTTTGCAGCTTGATGTGATATGTACTGTTAACTACTAGAAGTGTTCACAGTAAAAAGATAAAATGTAGAAATCAAATGTATAATAGCATTCAAGCTGAGTTATGAATAGTATTCGTGAACTCCAGTCTATATAGTTGTGTATAGCCAAGGGCCGCTAGCTCTATTGATTACGCGAGAGATAGGAATAGAGGTAAAGAATCCGCGAGGAGCGGGATTTCTTACATAATCTTACATCTGAGTTGAGAGTGAAATGAAAATGCTTAACCTTGTAATCAGGCACAGTGAAAGAAGCATATAATATTCTCATTATACAGGAACAAGTGAGTCAATTGCAACAGAAAATACTGCAATTGAGTATATCTTAGCAGAGAACAGATAATCAGACTTCTATGACACAAGCTATACATCTGAATATGATGAATCTAGATCTGAATATCATTGTTAAAGCACTGAATTTCCTGAAAAAGAGATTCTCTGAGTGAAAACCTTGATATTGTGAGTATCAAGCTTGCTTCAACTGTGAACATCAAAATCATAATACAAAAGATTGCACTCAGTATGCACAGTCAAGAGAAGTAAGAGAGTCAAAAAACTAGCAGAATCAGTGAGCTCAGAGACACTCACTGATATTCTATGAAAAGTCTTCAAAGTGAAAGAGATGTCTGTATTAGATAACTCTCTGAATTCTGTGAATATCAAGAGAAAGCAGGCTTCTGACTGAGATGCAGATGAGAATGAAGTGAATACTCATCTCAATGTCTTGAGGCCTGAAATGTTAATGTATAAGAGACACTTGAGTAAGAATTAAGAGATGGCTGTAAAAGTGTTAGCAGATACAGAAGCTTCAACACAATATATTAATAATTATATGATTTAAAGATTGAAAGAGATCTGCTGAGTGAAGAATCTCTGATACATAAGATTATCTGATAACTGATATTTGATATCATCTATAAAAGTAAGAGTTTTCTTGCACTTCAGAGAATAATCTTGCTATATTTAAGTATGAGAGCTGCAGAATGTAAAATACAATCTTATTCTTGAACTTGATTGATTTCAAAGGTTCAATCTACAGATTCAATGATATACATGTCATATGCAGTTGACTGATAGAAAGAAAATGATTCATACAATTCTATCAACTGATATAAGAAGGACATTTCATATCTCTGATATAGAAGAATTAAATCTGCTTACACATTAACAAGTAAAGAGAATAATTCACAAGATCTCATTCAAAAGCATTCTGTATATCATATGAGACTCAAAAGTGAAGAAAACTAAGATAAAGAATATGCAGAAGAACAAGCATATGAAGAAGCTTCTGAAGAAGTATAGAAAGATCTTCTGAACAGATCTTTCACTGAAATTGCTGCTGAAATGAGAATTCATACATGAGATTGACATGAGGGATATAAAACTAGTCAATCAGAATGTGTACTCTCTGTCACAAACACATCTCAAAGAACAGAAGTGTCAGATCACAGACCTTCTAGAATGTGATCTTATACAACTCTCATCAAGCATGTGAGGCTTTTCAGTTTTATTTGTGAAAAAGGCAGGTGAAGAGTGATTAATGTGTATCAATTATCAAGCACTTAATAAGCTTATAATCAAGAATGAATATTCACTGTCACAGATTCAATAACAGTGAAATATGATTAAAAATATCTGATATCTATTGAAGATCAATCTTCTCTCAGAATACTGATAGATCTGTATAGATAAACTGTCAGTTCTGTGAATCATGTTTAATATATAATAAGAGAAGTTTGAATTCCTGACAATGTCATTCAGTCTGACAAATGTACCTGTCATCTTTCAAATGATGATGAATATGATTCTTCATAAACAGAATAAAATCTCATATCTTGTATATCTTGATAACATTCTAGTCTTTTCAAACTCATATGATGAATATCTGAAGCATCTTAATGAAGTGCTTATAACTCTGACAAAGTATAAGCTCTATATCAAATCAACTAAGTATGTGTTTGAAATAGAAGAGTTAGAGTTCATGAAACATGTAGTAAGTGATGACTGTATACACCTTATCTCAGAGAAATTGAATGTTATAGTGAATTGACTGCAGCTGAGAAATGTATATCATATATAACAGTTTCTTAAGTTAGTCTCATACTACTGTAGATTTATCAAGGATTTCACATGAATATCTGTATCACTCTCAGATCTCTTAAGAGAAACAGATGCAAATCTGTGA